CATATTCACTAAAATTTTAACTATCACGTTTTAATGGTCATAATGTAATTTCATCCTAAAAAACATTTTAATTTTTACAATTCTTTTTCTTACTTTTATTTGGAAAAAATCTGACAAATTGTTTACGGCTCGACATTTACGTAGAATATAGAAAATCGAAAGCACTTGATAATCTAACAACGCGTTAATTACACAAAATATTATAAGCATTTTGCTCGCCTTAAGCATTAATATTTAAAACATGCTTCTTAATTTCAATACACTTCTTAAATAAGTATACTTGATTTACACGCCATTTTCTTTTAATTTATAGATTTAGAAACTTCAAAGCGTTTTATGAACAAACTTCAAATCTTTCAACGACAACCAACGTTGAGAAATAAAAATTTCAATATTTATCAATATATTGAATTGTTTAAAAAATATATAATATCTTTGAAAGTATTTGCACTACTTTCAAATATTGTTGAAAAATGATAAACAAATTGGTCGATCAGTTTTTTATATATTTTCTCTGACATGTGTATAAATATGATAAAATTTTCAATTTTATTATATTTTAAAACTTTACTATTAGTAATAATTTTGTCTTGCCCGTTGGTTGTCTTGGACGTTTTAGAAATACAAATCTCCTTTTTAAATATGTCTCATTTAATATTATTATCACAAAGAAATATCGAAATCTAATATCGCAAAATAACGCTACGTGCTCTTCAATTTTTCCATCGTCACAACGCTTAAACAGGCACATTTTCTTCCTCGCCATTAACTTGTCAGTATTAACAGTCTCTTGTGATCATTAACACAATAACTATCAAAGCAGTTAAAATGACTAACTTATAATTTCTATTTAATATATTTATGCCAATTTATATCTAATAATATACCTTTAAGATTATCTGTAAATATTTGGTATGAATGAATATTTAATTTTTTTTAGTTTCACTATTTGTTTTCTTCAAAAAGATCCGTCATTTTTAACTGCTCTGTTAGGATATTTATTGTGATATTTACGCATTAATATGATTTATTGCAGAAACATTTGCAAGTTGAAGTAATTAAATATCGTCTTATTATTAGTTTTTCCTCAAATCAATTTTTTAAGTTTTTTAATATTCAACTCTATGAAATACACGTATATGTATATAATATATATTATATATATTATATCAGATCAGTATAGTAATGGAATAATTAGGGTATTATCAACATATTAATATTGACTTCTTTCTGAAAATCTTCTAGCTGAAAATCTAAAAAAGCTATTGAGCATTAAAGGATTAAAGATTAGTGTAGAAGAAAAAAATAGTGTAGAAGAATGCGCTGACTATATTCTAATAATGAAAAAAGTTTATCTTTAATTTTGTAAATTAAGTATGTAAAAATTATATTATTTATTTTCTGTTAAATAAATTTTTAACATATTAATAAATAAATAATCATATAAGAATTCATTTCCAAAATTCCTTTCATCCAAAAATTTTGTTTTTATAGTAAGAAATATTTTATAGTAAGAATATATTTGATCTAAATAAAGAGCAAATTATTTTAAAAAAATAAAATTAAAATGAAAAGAATAATTTTTAATCGATTTTGTAGCCGATAAAAATAATGAAATCGGTATATCGGTTTAAGTAAAATAGTAATGTATCTGTAATAACTAATAATTAATTAATAATTAATCTATAATAACAGAAAATAATTATTTCACTGTTAAAAATGATAGAATAGCATAAAAAAATATTAACCCTGTATTTCATTATATTTCAAACCTCATATTTGTATTTATAAAGGCATTATATGAATGAATCACAGTGTAAAATTCACAAAAAATGCAAATTTTTTTATAATTCCATACATGAAGGATTTAACAACACTGCAGATTCTGCTAAATTTTCACATAACATCAATCACTCGATAATTATGATTATAGGTTATAAGATAACGATGAAAGTTCGATTGGAAATGACATTGAACAATCGATATAATCGATTAATTAAGAAAGTGAAATCGATAAATTGCGCGTTTCTAATTGAAATCAGAGTAATCACTGAATTTACCACTTAAGATGATGTCGTTGTTTAAAAATCATATGCAAATGGCTAATTTTGTACTCTAATTTGATATATATTTTTTTATTTTATAGTTTGAAAATTATAATTTTCCATTTCCATTCGGCAAGTTGAACCAATTTTTATTAAATTTTTATTTAAGTTGGCAATAATAAATGATATAAATTGAAAGATGAAATTTATTTTTCTGTTTGAATATAATCAAATATTTTACATTAGTAAAAAGCAAACGATGTCATCTTCTTTTTTTTTTTTTAATTATAATTTATTAGTAAGTTAAAATTTCTTTTATAGTTTCATAAAATATTCTAAGCTTTAAGCTAATATTTTTATTTAGATATACCCTGTATAATTATATATTATTTTATAATATTTTCAAATTAATG